TGATTTATTGTAGAGATGAGGTCTCGCCAAGTTGCCCAGGTGGTCTCGAATCCATGGACTCAGGCAATCCTCTCATCTCAGCCTCCCAAAGTGCTGGGATTATAGACATGCTGTACCCAGCAACGTCTCTTTCTTAATGCAACTTTGGCCTCTTCAGTTTGCAGATCTCCAGAGGAGCCCACCAGCCTGGTCAACATGGCCTCTGAAGACATTGCCAAGCTGGCAGAGACACTGGCCAAAACACAAGTGGCTGGGGGACAACTGAGTTTCAAAGGCAAGAGCCTCAAACTCAACACTGCAGAAGATGGTGAGTTTCAGTGAGCTCTGTACTGGCTTGTCCAGGGGAGGAAAGGGGGCACATGAACACGTATTAGTTGTTAGGTTTTTTCAGCCACATTGTCTCCATTTTTTGTTCTAGTGGCTGTGCGAGGTGTCACTGGGCCCATTTTAAAAATGAAACTCAGGCAGGCTCCGTGGCTCAGCCTGTAATCCTGCACTTTGGGAGGCTAAAGTGAGTGGATTATCTGAGCCCGCGGGTTCAAGACCTGCCCGGGCAACTTGGTGAGACTTCATCTCTACAATAAATAAAAAAAAAATTAGCCGGTGTGGTGGCGTATGCCTGTAGTTCCAGCTACTTGGAAGGCTGAGATGGAAGGATCGCCAGAGTCCAGTAGGTAGAGGCTGCGGTGACTGGGAGCATGCCACTACACTCCAGTCTGGGCGACAGAGTGAGACTCCAACTCAACTCAAAAAAATAAAACTAAAAATGCAGCTCAAAGATCATTTGCATAGGAGCACATGCAGGCTTCCCTGGGCTCGGCGTGTTTCTGGTGCACATCCCTTTGTGCACTGCCCTTTATCTCTCAGGAGGGGATGGTAAGTAATGAGGGATGGCAGTCCCAAGATATAGCCCCTGACTTCTGACTTCTGTTCTAGTGTTTTTCCCATCTCCACCTTTGTTTGTTTTTGAGTTGGAGTCTTACTCTGTTACACAGGCTGGAGTGCAGTGGCATGATCACAGCTCAGTGCAGCCTCGATCTTCTGGGCCCAAAGCAATCCTCCTACCTCAGCCTACTGAATAGCTGGGACTACATACAGGCACGCACCACTATACCCGCCTAATTTTTTTTTTTATCTTTTTGAGCCAGAGTCTCTCTGTCACCCAGGCTAGAGTGCAATAGCATGCTCACAGCCACTGCAGCCTCAACCTGCTGAGCTCAGGTGATCTTCTGCCTCAGTCTTCCTAGTAGCTGGGACTATGAGCACGTGCCACCATGCCCAGCTAATTTTTTGATTTATTGTAGGACAGGGTATCCCTATGTTGCTCAAGCTGGTTATGAATTTGTTTTTTTTTTTTGCGGAGACGAGATGTTGCTGTATTGCCTAGCCTGTTCTTGAACTATTAGCCTCAAGCAGTCCGCCCTCTTCTACCTCCTTAAGTGCCTGGATTATAGGAATGAGCCACTGTGCCTGGCCCCATCCCCACCTTTTTTTTTTTTTTTTTGAGTTGGAGTCTCGCTCTGTCACCCAGACTGTAGCTGGAATTACAGGCATGCGCTACCACGCCCGGCTGATTTTTTGATTTATTGTAGAGATGAGGTCTAGCTGCCCAGGCGGGTCTCGAACCCGCGGGCTCAGGCAATCCACTCACCTCAGCCTCCCAAAGGTGCGGGATTACAGACTGAGCCACCGAGCCCGGCCCCACCTTTTTTTTTTTTGAGTGGGAGTGTCACTCTGTCACCCAGGCTGCTGTGCAATGGCATGCTCACGGCCACCACAGCCTCGACTTGCTGGGCTCTGGTGATCTTTCCTCCTCGTCCTTCAAAATAGCTGGAACTACAGGCATGTGCCACCATGCCTGGCTAATTTTTCTTGATTTATTGAAGAGATAGGGTTTTGCCAAGTTGCCCAGGCTGGTCTCAGACCCGTGGGCTCAGGCAATCCTCTCACCTCGGCCTCCCAAAGTGCTGGGATTATGGGTCTGGGAGTATCTACTGGCTTCTCCAGAGCTGAGACCCTTGTGGAGCTACATTGAAATAATAGTCTGGGTTCTCTTGGGAGGTGCTGGTCCATGCCTGTATATACACACAGTGGATGCTTCAGTGTGTATATAGGCACTGTGACCACAGAGAATTAGGAGCCAGAAGATAGACCCTATCTTTCGTCCCTGGCCAAGGCTTGGCTGGCACTAATCAGTCCTGAATCCCTAGCATGTGGAGTGAAGGCACCTATGTCAGTAAGGCCTGGAGGAGTTCTGGCTCAACCAGAGAAACTGGTCTGGACAAGCCTGGTTGTCATACTGTGCAGGCAGCCTTGCTCCACTCCTCTGGGTCAGAGTGCTTGAGTTCTTGGGTTGCTGGGATCATGGTGATGCACATCTGTAGTGCCTTACCAGAGTTCCTCCCTGTGTTTTTATTACTTTTATTACTTTTGATCTTTGTGTCACCCCTCTTGGAAATAGGTAGAAATGTTGCCATTTTATAAATGAGGAAAAAGGACTTAGAAGACTTAAGTAATTTGCCCAGGGTCACCCATCTGTTAAGTAGCAGAGCCAGGATTTTTTTTGTTTTTTGAGTCAGAGTCTCATTGCTCACTGCTGGGCTCAGGCAATACTTCTGCCTCAGCCTTCCAAGTAGCTAGAACCACAGGTGTGTGCCACCATGTCCGGTTAATTTTTGATTTGTGTAGAGATGAGTTCTCACCAAATTACCCAGGCTGGCCTTGAACCCCTGGACTCAGGCAGTCCTCTAGCTTTCACCTCCTAAAGTGACAGGATTATAAACATGAGCCACTGCACCTGGCTTAGAGCTAAGATTTTTTTTTTTTTTTTGCGTTGGATTCTCACTCTGCCCAGACTGGAGTGCAGTGGCTGCTCCCGGCCACCACAGCCTCTAACTGCTGGGCTCCGGCGATCCTTCCGCCTCAGCCTTCCGAGTAGCCGGAATTACAGGCGCACGCTACCACGCCCGGCTAATTTTTTGATTTATTGTAGAGATGAGGTCTTGCCTGCCCAGGCGGGTCTCGAACGCGCGGGCTCAGACAAGCCACTCACCTCAGCCTCCCAAAGGCGCCGGGATTACAGGCTGAGCCACCGAGCCCAGCTAGAGCTAAGATTTTTAACAGAAGTCCAACTGAATCTCTGTTCCTTTACTTCTAATTATACATTGAGTTTATTTCAGTAAACGTGGATTTGCTACTAAATGCCATTTATTGAACACTGTGTCATGCAAAGGTGTAAGTGCCATATTAATAGTATCTCAGTTTATCTCCACAAAATTTCTTGAGATTGTTTTTTTTTTTTTTGAGTTGGAGTCTCACTCTGTCACCCAGACTGGAGTGCAATGGCCGCTCCCGGCCACGGCAACCTCAAACTGCTGGGCTCTGGCGATCCTCCCGCCTCAGCCTTCCAAGTAGCCAGAATTACAGACATGTGCTACCACACCCAGCTTATTTTTTGATTTATTGTAGAGATGAGGTCTCGCTGCATAGGCAGGTCTCGAACCTGCGGGCTCAGGCAATCCACTCACCTCAGCCTCCCAAAGGCGC